CATCTTTTTAGATTTATTATAGTATTTGAATAGAACTGTGGCACATTAGATAATCTTCAAATGATATACATTTATATGCATTCTAGTTAAAATGACGAAATGTAACGCATTACGTGAACCTAGCGCCAGATGTCGCTATGGTACAAATATAGTGAATTTTAAAGAGTGTATTTATTCTATTGTGGTTTATGCGCTATCGGCGAAGTAGATTTAATTCAATCCAATACGTTTAAATGAAATACAAGAGAAAATGCGACTAATTTAATATTCCGTGCAAGGAAGTCATGTGGTGTACACATTATACTTTTTTCTTTAGGGAAGCAGTCCAAGTTCTTGCTTGTTTCTTGACCACAAATTCCGGCTAGTTTAAACAATCTTTTTGGGCTTCTTGAAAAGTATCACTTCCTGTCGTTCAGTTTTAACTGAAGTCTCATCAGTTCTTTACATGAATAAGAAAAGCGTAAGTATAAAAAATAGAAAGTTTCGTGGTTTAAAAAAATCGACATTCAGATAAACACAGACAGACAAACATGATTCTAAATATAGTGAAAACGCTATGGGTAGCATTCGCGCTTATCTCTATCACATTTTCAGACTGAAAACATTCACCTATATATATATATAGGTTGGCAGGAAGTTAAAAAATGGTTATCAAAGGGCAAAATCTTTTTTAATTTCAATGTTATTATGGACTAGGCTACGTTTTAAAAAGATAGATATCCTAATTCCTTACTGATTTTTATAATTTTGACATACTTTCTGTTTGATAGTCCTCATCTCTGTAGAGCATTCATTTAGATCTAGCAAATCGGAGAAACTCCTTTTCTTTCATTTTCTTCGAGCAAGTCTTCCTTAGAAAATCCTTCACGAAAGCATCTCTTCCCTTAGAAAGGTACCCCTCGAGTATTGGGAAGAAAGAGATTAAGTATTTAGTTTAAAATAATGCATAAAAAACCATTCAGTTTCAATTTTTATCAGAAGTAGAGAAATAGTGCTATCATTGATACATTCAGGCATCAAAGCAATACTTTTAGACTGTGTTCGCTTGGTAATGGTAGGAAACTGTCTCCTACTCTGAATTTTTAGAGACTGATAGTGAGTTGCTGGATGGCTTAGTTCTTTGGTTAACTACCTTAAAAACAGATGATGATTACTTATTTTACTGTTTTATATCTATGATATAAGCAGTAAGAACTGATGCAAATTACAGACTGATTATTAAAACAAAATGCCAAGCTACCATCTATTCGTTCGTTTGTGAGATGTGTGTATGTCTGAGTCATTTATTCATAATGTTGATTTAAACTCCTTTATGTTGTAAAAATAAAAATTTGGCTTTTCTGTTTATGGCCTTTTATTGGCAGAATAATGATCTCCTTATGTTGATGCTTACCAAAAATTAACATAGTTTTCCTCTTACATACAGTTTTCCTCTTCTGGACACATATTAGTACATGTTACGTCTTCTCAGGCTCAGATAACACATACAGATAACACAAAATTTGCAGCGTTTCCAAAGCAGACCTTTTTTTAAATATATATTTTTTTCTGTCAGAATTTTATATAACAATTTATTTCCATAATAACAAAATTTTTTCTAAATGATGTGAGAAAAACATTTGTTTCACTTCAGTTACCAAAACTGCCTGAATGTGCCTCAGTGTGCAAAACTTTTACCCAGCATAAAGTTTAAATTAGAGCCTTTGTAAGATGTGATCAGGTATTTTACGACGAATTCATCTTAATTTCTAATCAAACATTGCCTGAACGTCCGACATATATTTTGGGAAGTCAGTGGATAAACAATTTATCATGTCATAGTCATCCTAGATGCATACGTATTTATTTCTCTTAAACTGAATTCACTCACTCATTCGAAATCTTCCTCGAGTCACAAACGATTGCATATCTGCAATTATATTTTTGATTGGAGTGTGACATTTCGAAAAAAAAAAAAGACTAAAAATAACTCCAAATTCTACTAAACGTCTGAGCTTAACATTTTGCAAAGAATATGTGACTTTACTTCTGTTTAAATCATGCTTAATTCTTTCTGGAATTTTTTCGAGGAAAATAATGTTTAGATTTACTTCGTTTGTTAAATAGATTTTTTGATTTCTATGTGATTTTGCCTTCTCGCAAAGTGAACGAACCAGATTAATTAAATAGAATACTCAATCGCTGTGAAAACTGTTTCTTTTTTGTTTTGTTTGCTTAATTTCTTTTATACATCATTCTAGCTTATTACAGTATTGAAATAATGTGGCAAAGATTTATAATCTATTCTTTAAATGATATAAATTTTGTGCATTATGATTTATAATATGACGAATTAATACTGAAGGGGATGATCACTTTGCCAACACAAAATGAGAATTTAGCTATTTTCAGTTTAATAGTCCAAAGTGTTTTTGTCATACAGATGAAATTTCAGTGTTCTCATTTATACTAGATGATGATATTTCTTGATTTTTTTACTTACAAGTGCATAAGAATTTTTTTAAAGAAAACTAAATGTTTTTCCGAAATTTAACTTTGTCTGAAGCACTGCGCGCAAACGACAGTATATAAATTTAGGTTTACATAATAATTTTTAGGAATCACGCGTCAGAGTGTCGCTATGGTAAACAAACTAAGTGAATTTTGCGAAGCATTTATCTATCTGGTTATGCGCTGTCGCGAAGTGATTTAATTCATTCATAAGTTTAAATGATGTAAAAAATGCGTATATTTATTTCCGTCAAGGAATTCATGTGTGCACTCGATTTTTAATAATGCTTAAGGCAGGACTGACTAAGCAACGCAGACAAGCATACGTGCAAACAGAATGTATTATTTTCCTATTCCTATGTTTACAGCTTATATATATCTGCGAAATATCTCAGACCAAAGTTTATTTTTACGCAGTTATTTAAATTAGTTTTATAACCACTTAAATCTTGCTAACATTATACAATACAGACTTTTATCATTTGACGTAAAACCACATAATTATGTTACCAACATATATTTCTTTTTATCCAGAAATTTTATAAAGCAAAGAGATAATAGGAGTTTTGCTAGCTTTTCAGTTATATCCCACATCGTTTTTCCATAATTAAAACACCGACCCAATATATGTTTTCAATCAAATAATTAAATAAATACGGTTTGATTAATTATGATTATTATTTCTGAAATCTACATTAAAAGATTTTGACTATTTTTATGTCATATTTTCAAATTGCATATGTTAATAATTCTCATAATTTATTGAACCATCACTATATTTTCTACTTTTAAACTGTTAATGTCATTATGAATACATGAATATATTAAATGAACGCAAACCAGTTGCTTGAAAGATATCACTTTTCGCAGCAATATTACGAAGTATCTGCAAGTTCAAGAATTGGACTTGCAAACACGTCACCTTTTCCACATTTTCCACCTGTCTGAACAATAACATTTAGCAACTGAGCGTTGCAAATAAGAGGTTGAAATAAGGTTACATAACGTATTGCATTACCTCTTCTTCACATGCAGATTTATCACAAGGAAGACAGTTACTTCGCAGAGAGTTCACCTATTCGTATGATGGAGTAGAGTTAAAGGTTAAAGCGCAAATATTGTATCATCTTTGTATCCAATCCGGAAAGACGTAAGATTCCACTGCCCTTCAACAGCGGAAATCCTTATTAATCAAATTTCACGGTTTCACACTCTTCGCCTGCTCTTTAGGATTTGTTAATTATTAAGTAACGCTGAAACGTATAAATGTGCTTAAGTCTGTATGATCATCGCTACAGTAACTCAATTTCGTAGTTCCAGGCATTAAACATTCATTTCAGCTGAGAGGTGAATATTTAACGATCATAAAATGCGTTCATGCTTAAGTGAGTGTTTATTAAAAGCAGTGAAACATCCAGGTACCGGAGGTCATTTGTAAAGTAACCTTGCATTTTTTTTTATCAAAATCAACATTAAACTGAGTATTGGTAAAACTTTTGTTGATCTAACGATCGGTCCCTTGAATATCTTCCTAGTTTCGTTGTCTGTAAAATGGTTTCAACTCATTTCCCATTTATTTACTTTTTCGTGGTGTCCAATCATTTCAAAACATCTTTCATCATAAGTGTTTATTTTACAGAATTAGAAATGTGTCATCAGAAATTTCCAAAAGTATGTCTTATGATTATAGGAAAATTTCAGACCATCCATAAATACATAGCAGATCGTTTATTTTCAAAGTCCATTAGTATATCTCATGTTATTAACAATATTATTTTTAATAGGATTTGAAGCCGGTGTTTTTTAAAGATCTGGCCATAAAAAATTGTTTCAAAGCCCGAGTCAAGTAATGCATCGCATATTTAGGTACTTATGTATTACATAAGAATATTTAAAATGAATCGAGTCGTTCTACTATAGCTGTATTCATCCATCTTAAACTGTCAACTGATTTATTATGTCTGCTATGAAACCTAGTCTTACATTTATCTTCAGAATTTTAAATTACTGTTTGCGTCATTATAAAACATGGGGAAGAAATCTTAAGAATTGATCAGTAGCTTGAAATGATAAAACCTTTCCAATGTTTCAAAAGTAAAACAATATTTGTGATTATATTCACCAGAGATAATAGATTCAGAATAATATGTATCTTCGTTATCGTTAATATTTGATACATTCTGGCAGTGTAGCAATATGTATTTCAAATGAAATATGCACATAATTTCTTGTAAGGGAATGGAGATGACTGGTGAATCCTTTATTTAAAAATTAATTTAATTATAAAATAAATATTTAATGACTAAAACGACCATATGAATTATCACAAGGGTAAAGTCACTTACTCAAATTGGAAAAAAAAAGCACGAATTTTATTTAAGATTGTTGTGTTCCAAATTTAATCTTATGCAAAATATAAATAAATAAATAAGACTGATAAATACTTTGATTAATATATATGTATTAAAAGTAAATTTATTGTAATAAATGGCACTCACAGATCACTGAATTTAAAAAAATGGTAAAATGATGACTTATTATATAGATAGAGCTTTACGTTGGTGAATAATTTTTGAGAAGATGATTGAATACTTTTGTTTTTATATTTCACAGCATAATTAATTAAATGAAATTTTCAAGTTTTTGTACAAATCACTTGTACAGAATATTATGTAATTCAGGAGCACAAAACGCTTCCCAAAGGTGCTATATTCAAAACCTGGGGGAGGAACTGAGCAAGGTCGTTATGTCGCCCGTCTGGTGCCCAATCTATGGCCAGTGACAGGCGCAATCTTGCCTCTTTGCCACGATGAATTTTGTAGGCCTGTTCTGCTATCAGATAAACGAGATTAGTCACAACAACAATAGAACATTGAAATGTCCTTTCTTCAAAAATTATTCAGGCTGATTTTCATCTCTGTATCTCATTTATATACAAGCTAGTCATTATTTGAAAACTTACAATGTCTACTCTATTCAAAAATACTTTATTGAAGCTAAAGAATAAATAGTTTGTATGAGAATTTTCCATAGCATAAGTTAAACTCAGAAGAATGACTCATAAAATTTCTGGAGAGTATCGATTCAACCAGTGGCAGGAAGCTTGTGGTTGTCAAATATTTTATAGATTATTCCTCGTAGATATGACCAAAGTTTGGAAGCACGGCTAAGGTAAAAGCTCTCTAGAGATGTTTTAAAGGATATTTAAAACAATCTGCCGACCATCTGGGATTGTTTATAATCACCTGCAAAAGAACATAAAACACCTCAAAATTATTTGATATAGGTATTACTGTCATTATCACTTTTTGTTTAAAATAAGTGCGTAAAATAATGTTATAAATATATACTTTTTAATTGTAAATTGAATGGAAAGACGAAAAGATGACGCCGACACAAAATGAATTTTAAAGAAATCCCAATCTTTATTTTCACGCATATAAGACCATCTTAGTAGACCTTTATCCAATCATAATGAATTACAAAAATTCTTATATAAATTTAAGCAAGAATTCTTAGCAGCGGGTATATGTTAGCAGTGGGGGAAGATAGGCAAATATTGACGAATTTTTTTTCGAGCGGTATTTATACCGAAGTAGATGCAATTGTAGAGACAAGCTATGATTGTTTAATATTAGGTTATTATGTAACATGGAAAGATCTCGAATTCGGGAGAACTGTTGAATTCAGGGGAAGAGCACTAAATCTAGAATAGTTACTTTTGAGGTTGAGATCTAGAATAGTTCTAAATCTAGAATAGTTACTTTATTCTTAAAGCAGGCATCATATCTTGTTAAATCTTACATATATATTCTACAAAAATCATTCTCTCTTTCTGAATATAAGCTCTTCTCAAAATTCATAAAAGTAATATTCCATTCCTATTCTTTCTATCGGAGTTAGGCACTGACTTTTATTTGTGAGCTAAAAGTTTAGTTTCTAAAGTATCGGCTTTGTAATTAATAACACTTACACCATCAAAAATTACTATTGGCTACGTACTATTGGCTAAGTTACTATTGGCTTCGTACTTCAAACTTACGTACTTAAATACGTGCGTAATACGTACTTAAAATAAGTCACTATTGGCAGAAGATTTTTCACAGATTGTTCAAAATTTATTTATTTCATCTTGTATCTGACCAAGTAGTTAAAAAGTTATCATCTCAAACCAACAGAAAAGCATTTTCTCGTTTCATGAGATTTAAAGAGTTTTGTAATCTTTCCTTCTTTTCATCTATTAGCTATAAAACTGCACACATTTTGCATATTGTACACATAATTACTCACGTGTCTTTTTTTTCTTCTGTTTGTAAAGTTCGCAGTTACCGTACCTAAAGACTCCATTCCAGATATAAACTCCTGGGAGTTATACAGTATTCCTTGCCAATGTGTTTTAATATAAATTAGTCAAACTAACAGAACCTTAACACTTCGCGCTAAGATGAAACATATGTTAGGAAAAAAGAAGAAATAAAGTCCCTATTATCCAACATTGCTGGTAAACCACGTATTTTCTATTTTTAAGCTATCAAAGTTATTATAAAAATATTGAAAGACCTGAATATTTTGTCAAATATTTCATTGTACTTCTTTTGCGATTCAAAAATCAACTTGTAGGATTGTATATTCCATAGTGTGTTAAAAATCATTTAATTTACTTGACATTTTACTAGCCAGTTTTGGTCATAAACCACGTTGTTCTGGTTTATGACCAAAACTGACTCCATCCAGAAAGGATTCTTGTTTATTAGCTATGCAGGTAATATAGACTAAATTAATGAATAATTATCTAAGAAGTTTTTTCAAAATTGCAGAAAATTTCATTTTTAATTTAATTTTGACACAGCTAAATTCTTTATTAGTAAATCAGAGTTATAGATAGCTTTTTGCGTTATTTGTTGTTGCTTTTTTGTTATACCAAATTCCTGAAAGAGGTTACAAGATACATACCCCGAGCATTCATCTTTTTGAATATTTTACGTTATTTTTTTTCCTTTTACTTTTGACATATCCATTTTTGTCTGACGCAGAAAGACTGCAATTTTTATCTTAATTGATGTTTTTTTTAATTATGAACTAATATTTTTAAATATTAATTTGTATATGCCATTTTTCTAATTTAATACTTAGTTTATGTTTAAAATTTATTTTGCCAATTTGTTTCGTATGGTTGAAACAATAACATAAGCGTTTTAATTAATTATATGAGTTTAGTCGCAAATGAAAGGTACGTAATTTGGTGCTTTCTATAATTGATAGTTTTTATTAATCTGGAGTCCAGCTTCATTGTTAAGTTAAAAATAATCCGGCTTTTAAAGAACTTTTACTGTATTGGTGTCCGTCATGTTAGCTTCATTTACTTGCGCCATTTTGGAGTGGATTAAGTGTTGTCGTGAATTTTAATTTAGCTTTTGTTAGTGGCTTAAAGGTATAAAATAAAACAAATTCTCAAAATTACAAACCCATCCAGAAATGATCTCAAATTATGCATTGCATAAAATTATGAGCTGCTGTTTATGAGCATAAAATTAACACCTGTGAAGTGTTATTAATTTTTCACAATCACACCTTTCCTTTCATTCTGCACCTCTCGCCCACCAGCGGCCGAGCGGTAAAGTCGCTGAACACTGGTAGTTCGGTCCGAGGTTCGAATCCCCCCGAACGGGCTGGCTTCATGGGCGTTTTCGTGGTTTTCCCCATGTGTAACGTGTATACGAGCCAGTTCCCTTAGAAAGTCCTCCACGAAGGCATCCCTCCCTTTAGGCAGATAGCCCTAGTGTGCTTTGCCATAATTAAATACACACCATTTCGCACCTCTCATTTCCTTGAATAGCATTTTGCCTTTTTGAGAGATCCTTTGCCTTTTGATCTTGTCAGCTGGGAAAATTTAGAGAAGCTTACAAATTTGTTTGCTTAATCAGAATTTGTGTTACACAAATAACACATATTTGGTGAAATTAAGATTTCGGATTTATTTTTGCCTATTGTATAACATACGTCTTATTCTATGTGTTTTTAGATTACAATTTTGATAATATTTACAAATGAGAAGCGAAATACAGTCACTAAAAATTATGATTCATTAAAAAATATTGATTTTTATTTCTCCCACAGGTAATTTTTGAACTAAGGAACGCAGTATTTTCCTAAATTTCACGACATTATATATTATATCTCAAATTAAACTGATTGGGATGAAATGTGTAGTTTTGTTTACGTTTATTTCCATCAGGACCTAATATGCTTGGCTAAATTGTAAACTAAGTAGAAAATATGACTGTTACCTTTTCAGTCTATATTATTGCAAGCATTTCCGTGTTTGTAAACTTACTTAGTGATCATTATGTTTCTATTTAACAAATGTTAGTTTAGGTTTGGTCACAAACCAGAACCATTCTTTAATTTTTTAAAAAAAGTAAGTTGATCACTTGTGTGTGCTCCAGAAAAATATTTTTTAAGTAGAAACATAATTTCATCTATTTGTTTTTAGAACTAAAGCTCAAGCAAAAAAAGGGATCATTAAATAAGTATAACATCTGATTGAGCAGAAAAGGTTAAATAAAAACATGGAAAAAAGAAATTCTCTATTTGGTTAAAAACAAAGTTATTAAAATTGTGTAAAATTCCTGGCTTTAAGTTAAAGCTGAAAATGAGGAACCTTAAGAACTGGTAAGCGAATATTCGCTTAGTTCAGTGAGCAGGAATTGAGAAGTGTCAAATGCCCTTGATTATTAAATTTAGCAGACGGCTCCTTCTAGGAGTTTACAATAAAGCCTCCCCTTGGGCTTGAACTCAGGAATACTAAGAAGTAAAACTTAACTAAACTAAAAAAAATATAGCCGAAGCTGTGATGATTCTAACAGAGTTGGCCCCTTAACGCTAACTAACGGCGAAGCTATCAAGGGCGTAAAGTACGGCCGAGCGTAATAATAGCTTAAGAAAGAGAGTAGCCTAAAAGGCGAACGCGCGCTGCTCAGAATATTTGACTCTCTAACGAAGTCAGTAGAACTTCAGTAGAACTTCAGTTGAAGTTAAATACTTCTCCTCCTCATTTGTAATTCTGACCGCAATTCTGAAAATACTTTCTGGCCGGAAGTTGTAAGCTGAAATTAAGAATGGACAGGAACGTAACTTTAACTAAAAATGAACTGTTAGAAAACCTAGGATAAACCTTACAAGTGTTTGTACTTTTTACTAGTAAATTAAATATTTATTTCATAAATGTTGCATTTTTTCGTTAATGCCTCCATTTCTCAATGCAATTCAAATATAAAATATTACTAATGCTTGTTCTGAGATTTATTTAACATACTCCGTTATTTACGTTTTTTAATACATTGATAGTATACATGTTATATGTGACATAATTGTTATTATGCTGTATAATTACTTATTTTTCATATTCTTTAAGCTCCGTTATAAAAATTAAATTTGATGTTATTTGTTAAAATTCTTTCGGTAGTTATTAAGTAAACGCATTCCATATTTCGGAACCGAGATTAGCTGTTTAAAAGGATTCATTGGATTATTTGAATTATGACCAAATAATGAATAACTAGCTGCTTCAGAGGACGCCTCAAAGCCTTATTGGAGGATATTTCCAGGTAAGCGGCATCGTATTCATACTAAACAAGTCACCCAAATCAGAATACTGATGAATAAATTCATAATATTGTAGAAAATCACGAAAAGACCCATACAGCCAGTCCACTTGCCGGAATTCGATTCTTGGTCGAATTACCATTATCAGTGATTTCACCATTCGACCATTGGTGAATCCAGGTGAAAAAGAGTAGCTTTAATTTTTCTAATGAATTTTAATGCCACCTTAGTTATTGCATAATGTTATTTATGCACATTATGTGAATATGGAAAATCATATGATTCATTTGGATTCACAAATAATTTGAGTAAAAATTGTAGATCCTTTATTTTAGTGGCAGATCGTGAAAATTCAGCTAAGTTCTCACAAGGAATTGAATATTAAGGCCTTCCAGTTATAAAAAATAACCTTGCAAGAAGAGAGGAATGTTTATAATTATTTATTTTTTTTTTAATTTGCTTTCCGCTATTTATTAATCTGCATACTTACTTTTACTAGGAAAATCTATGCATGCGTATGGCAAATTAGTCACATGGCTACCATAGACAGTTCTAATATAAATAAGTGATATACCAATAACAGAATAAAGAAACTGTGTTAAGTTTTTATGTGATCCTGCTCATTCTCAGAGTACCAATGACAGAAAATTCCGTTCGACAAAAACATACTTTTGCCTACCACATTAAATGAAGGGAAATCTCTGTACAGGACTTTTAGTAATTTTCTCGAGAAATTCAACGTTGTTTCCAATATTCGCCCCACTAAAATGATTTTCTACCATTGCAAGCGTCGCATAAAGCCTTACTTTATCCTTAATAGGAAATTCTAAGTATGCCATACTTCAGTTAGTAATACTTCCTTAATGAATCTCCTTCTAGACTAGGATTTCCGAAAGATGATTACACTAGAACATATTACGTGACACACATATTACCTATTCTCATAATTTCTGTCCCTGAAGATGTAGTTAAGTTTTAATAAGATATATTTATAACCTATCTTTATCATAATGTATGGGGTTCAATGTTACATAAGAAAGGGAAAAATAGGTAGGCAAATAAAAAACACTCTATAAGGACTTCGCTTTATTTTGCTCAGCAGCTTGCATTCCTATAAATAAATTAACAACGGACATGTACACCATTTTAATTAAAATCATCTTAACAGAGTGCGAAGTAATATTTTGTGAAACTGTGATTCGAATCAAAATTTTTTCACTTACGTGGCGAGAAAATTCAAGAAAAGATAAGAAACAGAGAAAAATCATTATTTTGCTTAATTTGCGTAAACCTTAATGGAAATTAAATATAATAACTTTTAATGAGAACAAGCGTAACTTACGTGAGTTTTAGTATTATAATTTAGAATGTTGAACACAACTCTCCTCTTCAAATGCAGTAGCGAATATGACAACAATGGATTTTGCTTTTACACTCTAAAAACAGATAAAAAAATTGAGAATGCTTCAGTAGAGGGAGAAGAAACAAAACTATTGACACCGTTTATTGATAAAAATGTGAAAGGAAAACAAAAACGAAATAATTCCTTGAAAAACTGAAAGTAAAAAAAAGTAGAATGGGAATCATTAACGGAAAGTATAAGATTTTTGTGAATGCAAAATGCTTTATGAAAATTTAATTCGCCAGCAGAAGCTGTATTTTGAATAGTTTCAGCTACAGGTAAATCGAAAATATGACCTTTTGACCAGGAATAAGGGTAAATAGAATGTAAAAGTTTCTTTTTCCGTTACGTATATCGCATATTTCTTAATGCAACATTTGAAGACACTTCTTGTTCGCCTAGTTATATATTAAGGCATGCGTGTAAGGAACACTATACACCAACAGCTCATTTCTGGAAAGGGGGTATTTAAGTATTGAAGAGCGAATTATTTTGTTCGTAATTAGTAGCAACTGTTATAAATATTTTCAAGAAAAATGAAAACTGTCAAGAGAAAACCCACATTTAGTTGCACTGATATGGTATTAGAAGAATTCAGCTGCATTGTTTCAGTCTCCTTGTGGTAATTTTTTCATTGCATGGTAAGGTTCAGAATTTTATTCACAGTTACATATTAATACCAGTGGCACTTGCTTAAAGAGACTTTAACGTTGTAGGCCATTTCATGTCTCAAAATTATTCATAGAAGAAACACATGCTGTCTTTATTATAAAGTTTAAATATGAGGATGCACTCATCGCTGAATATTCTGATATATATGGAGTTCAAAATTATTTTTACAGAACAAACATACAATAAATGATATTTCAAGAACCACTCAGTCAATTTTATTTATGTTTTCATTTAATGAACAAAATATAAATCTATTTGTTATTTTTCAACCCAATATATAGAACCTGTTTCAGAAAACAATAATGGATATCGGCATCCAAAGGTGTGGCAGAGGCTTGACACAAAGTATATTACCTCGTAAACGCTTGCAGCTGAAGGGCCGCTTTCAAAGCTTAGCGAGTTAAAGTACTTTTTGCAGTATCAATATGCAATTTTGTCTTGTGAGACGGAGAGCCACTATATCATTTGGAAATTATTTTGAGACTGGAAAGTTTTTTGAGATTATCGTCTCGAAACTATAGGCGTAGTAAGTTGATTTTATTTATAGATTGTTTGCTCTGTTTTTTCAAAAGATTTTAAAAGAATTACGACTCTTAAAGTATAATTAGAGCAGATGAGAGTACTATAGGCCAAAAATACTTCTAGGGATTGTTTCCGGTTTGTAATTGTACGTTACAACAGGAATTAGACTCCTTAAGTTTAGAGCGAGAATTTTCCTTCTTTTTCAAATGTACAAATGAACTTAAATGAGAAATTTATTCTTGCCTGAAACCCAATGTTTTGGGTTTCACAGGTATCACTACAAAAAATGGCTTACCTGAATCCACGAAGAGTACACTAGAGCTAGAATTTATAAGCAATCATCAGCGTTTTGTTCATTGAAAGACCGAAGCTCACTTTTTCATTTCATTCTGAATGCGTGAATACTGATCCCGAACATTAAAGCATATGAACATTTTGAATGTAATGGTATGAGGTACAATAATGTCTTATTTGCCATACCGTCTTGCACATAATCGACAGCTGATCTGTCTCTGGCCAGTGATATCGAGATGCAGTTTTTCAACTTAATAGTCGAAGTCTTTTAGCGGTGCAAATGATCCTATTTTCTTTAGACTGTTGGTAACGCCGTCTCTGCAGTCAAATTCAGTTGATGACTATATATATTGTTCTACTTGAGATGGCACTAAAAGTTTGGTCCTATAACTCTAACAGACATTTAACGAGTTTCTGTTAGGCCTGAGATAGTATGACAAAGACTTAGGAAGGTTTAATGAACCTTATGGTTCGAATTGAACTTTTAACAAAACAGGATATGGCTCGTGCTACAGGTAATCGCAGCCTGTGGTGATGGAACTTAAATAAGAACAGTCAAATAAATGTAAAGCTGATCAGTAGTCTAAGAATACTAAGTTAAATACTAAGCCAGCTATTATATTTAGTTAAATAATAAGCACCACTAAACCAGCTGGTTCAAATAATTTAACGGAGCGAAGGTTTAATGTATCGGTTGCTAAAGCCCAGGTAATTGTGTTTAGATAGATCTGTGGGCAATAGACCATTCAACGTTAATGCCAGTAACTCTCTCAAGATTCCAAAAACCTCAGCTTGAATAGCTTACAAACTAATTTGCATTTTGGTGAATAATACGGAAAGATGAGGTTTAAGATCAAACTCATAATAATTGGTTAGTTTAATATAATAACCTTGCAACTATCTTGATGCCCGAAATAGTTAAATGAAATCTTACAGCAAGCTGTTGGTATATTTGACGCATTAAAATTCTCCTCATGTAGATTTCACTGTCTTGAATACGTATTAGTGAAAGAGTCGTATGAGATGTATAAAATTCTACTTCATAATCATATTGAGAACATTCTGTTTCATGTATCGCAAAATGTAGCTCCATGTCGTATGCCTTCATACTTGGTAGATGAACACAAGCTGTCTTCCTTTTTCTTAAAAGGTGCGACGGTAGTATATGCCTTTGCAAACTTTACGGCTCTGAAGTTTGGATGGCTCTCATCATTTCATCCTCTGTACAGTTTTTAATAAACAATAATCGGAAATTGTCATATGGAACATCTACGTTTTGTAAAAAGTAATTTTGCTGAAAATATATAGAGAAACCGTTACAGCAATTTTCGGTGATATGACGTTCTTCATTAATACGATCGAATAATATCCCATTAGTTTCCTAAAGCACTGGAAGAGTGTTTGCCTTTTTAAAATCTGGAGGCTTTCAAAACATTTAAAAGATTGTTATTTTAGTTTCAGTAATTTTAATTTTTCAAAGTTCCACCATTTAGAATATTTCCTATTTTGTTCTCTGCATGAAATAAGAAATAAATATATTGCAAGAAAGTAATGTTTTCTTTTGAGTGTGATTCAATATTTATCAGTAAGTAAAATTTCCTGAGGTGTTTCTGTACAGAAATCGACGCTTTACGTCTTCAGATTTGCATAATTAAATGCTTCCAAAATTACGGATATATGCTGCAGTATGACCGGCACTTGTGCATTTACATTGGTATATATAAATATATATTCTCTGGGTTTTGCCAGCTGTTACGTTTCAACTCCAGTTTTGAAGAAACCCCTCCGGGAAGGGGCGCTACGAAGGTAGCAAAGAACTCTTCCTCTAACATCCACCTGCCAAGATACATTAAATAGCTGTGTATTTAACATGTAAAGACATTAAAATAGCTGTGTGTGAGGTCCTATAAATCGCGGCCTCTTAATCGCGTAGACACTCTTAAAAAATCTGTGCCTTCTATGAACCAGCACATTAAACTTATTATTAAGCTTCGAAGAAATTTTGCACTCAATAAAGTTAAATGTTTTCCATCACTAAATAAATCTAACAATTAAAAAAAGGAACGACTAACGTGGATTATTTCAAAAATATATAGTTAGTACATAACTGTACAGTTTGAAGAAAGCACTTAATTTAAACTTCATAACAAGAGAAATATATGCTCATAGAGCATAGATTAAATATAAAATAAAAGTAAGTAGTTATTTAAATGCTACTTATACTACAAAAACAAATTAAACGTTTCATTAAAAATAACCTTTTAACTGCATTTTAGTATTACATTTTAAACTAAGAAACATTACATTTTAAACTTAGTTCAGAGTAAAATGACTGTTCTAAAATCTGAAAGAATCTAACAATTAAAAAAAGGAACGACTAACGCGGATTATTTCAAAAATATATAGTTAGTACATAACTGTACAGTTTGAAGAAAGCACTTAATTTAAACTTCATAACAAGAGAAATATATGCTCATAGAGCATATATTAAATATAAAATAAAAGTAAGTAGTTATTTAAATGCTACTTATACTACAAAAACAAATTAAACGTTTCATTAAAAATAACCTTTTAACTGCATTTTAGTATTACATTTTAAACTAAGAAACATTACATTTTAAACTTAGTTCAGAGTAAAATGACTGTTCTAAAATCTGAAAGAATTTAATAATTCCTATGAGAATCATGCATATTAAGCATAAATGTTATTTAAAAACATAATGTGCATATTATTCTTTAGGATCATGGTTATGTGTATAAAAGGAAAAAAATATTAAATATGAAAGTATAATTGGGAGTTTGTTTATGTTATTATTTATTATTTAAATATGAAAGTAATTTCTAAAATATTTAGCAATTTAAAAGTGATTCCATGAGCTGGAAACTAACCTGAAGCATTAAAATGTAGATTAAATGCTTCCGATATTCATGAATAATATCTTTATGAATGATGCAAACCCCTATATATAGATACATGCAATTTATTTCATCAATTAATTATAGAGGAATAATTATCAGGCTGTTAAGAGGGTAATTAGCATTATTCAGAGATGCTCATTAATTTCGCATTAGTGATTGGGATACGTATTTCAAAATACATTTTCATAGTATTAATAAGTAATACACTAGTTCTTCAACTTAAAATTTCAACATATGTACCTGATAGGTTGGTACTGATTTATAACCCAGAACATCTTTCGCAGTTCATAACAATCTCACAGTTTATTGTCTGAATGCATAATTTATGTGGCTCTAAATTTCAAGCAGACCTGCGTATGATCAAATCACCCTTACTGTACATTTCGAATTCGGCATTGTGCGAAACCACGACTATTCTCTATTCCTAGACCAGCTCCCTTAAATTAGCAATGTGGCCTGGCATCCTCTGTGCAATAAGCGGCTTCTGATGAATGGAGATTCATTACACTAATAACTGAGTCAAACAGGATGTTGTGCAAGATAAACGCTATGCATTCCAGCTGCGATCAGTACAAGTTTAATTATTGTATTCTTAAATAACTAGTTGTCCTCTGTGCATATTTTAAC